GGGGTGGGGAGAGGCAGGGAGGAAGCAACTTACCCTCCCTCTTTTCCTGCCTCCTCCTGGCTGAATGAGGGTCGGAAGCGGGGCGGCCGGAAGCAGGGGGAGGGGCTTCGTCATGTGCCCCACCCCCCGTACCTCACCCGGGGGAACTGCAATCCCCCGCGATCTCCCCCCGAAATGACCTCTGGTTCATGCTCAATACATAACAGAGCTGGTGTGAGATTCCTGCGTTTTGTGTTGGGGCAGATGAAAGTGGTGTGGAGTGCCTTTGCGAGCGGGTCCCAAAAAGTACAGTAAGTCTAGAAGTGAGCCCCATTTGAAAAAGTTTGAGGACCGGTGGCCAAACTTTCCCCTCCCTGACACGCACAGTCTCTTCACTCCAGACTGAAGGGAGCCAGTTTGGTGTAGTGGTTAAGAGCAGTGGGCTCTAATCTGGAGAACCGGGTTTGATTCGCCATGCCTCCACATGCAGCCAGCTGGGTGACCTTGGGTCAGTCACAGTTCTCTCAAAGCTGTTCTCTCATGAGCAGTTTCTGTCAGAGCTCTCTCAGCCCCACCTGCCTCACAGGGTGTCTGTTGTGGGGAGAGGAAGGGAAGGAGACTGTAAGCCGCTCTGAGACTCCAAGTGAAGGGCGGGGTGTAAATCCAATCTCTTCTTCTTCTTCTGACTCAACACAAAGTGGCTGTTCCTTGTTTTTAGACGGTAAATCTGCAAGCTGGGCTCACGTTCCAAAATCTACTCTTTGAATGGAGGCCAGTTCTTAGGTACTATTTTCCCAAAACAGACAAGAAGCTTTGCCGACTCTACACAACTGTTAGAGTTACCCACTCTAGATTGGGAAACTTCTGGAGATTTGGGGGTGGAGCCTGGTGAGGACAAGGACCTCAATGGGGTACAACATCATGGAGTCCACCCTCCAATGCAGCCATTTTCTCCAGGGGACTGATCTCTGCAGTCTGGAGCGTTATGTCCTCAGACCACTCCCAGGCGCCAGCCAGAGGCAGCTAGAGCTTCAATCCCAGTAGGGACTAGGCTCCTGAAGTGCAAGTAAGGAGCCAATAGAGACATTGGCGTGAATTTCAAAACCGCCAATAGAACCTAGGGGCGTCCCTCCCCAATTGTATAAAGTTGGCCACCCGGCTGTTAGTTTTGATCCACGTGTTAAGTACTAATAAACGCGTCTTCTCCAATGTCGTGGTCCGCGTCCCGATGTATCGAACCCAGTACTTTTCATGGAGATGAGCTGGAGTTCCTGGGGATCGTCAGGTCCCACCTGGAGGCTGGCATCCCTACCGTGGACAGAGTCTCTACTGCAAACGCCTGCCTGACGGACCCAAGTCAAGCTCTTTCTTGGCTACAGTGAGCGGAACAGCTTCACCGGTTGGGTTTCTGCCTCTTTCGAAAGCACAAAGAGTCTGTCCACGCATGGGCGGGTAAGAGGGGGCTGCAGCATCACTTCTACTTTCTGTGGAAGCAGAAAATAACTCCAGAAAACATTTAGGCAAAACCAGAAGAAAAGCCAACTGCCTTTGTACCCAGGAGACATATTTGGGGTTTTCAGGTCCCGTGAGTCACTTCTTCTTTTACACCACAGGGGGTGCAAGGCTTAATTTACTTAAGGGAAGGGTTTAATTTACTCATCAGTTCCACTCTGTAGTAAATGGTAAAGCCATTGATTGAGGGTGTAGTTTTAAAAAGAGTTACACCCTTCTGCAGCCACTGAAGCCAATGGATGTAGAAGGGTATAAGTTTCACAGAATCACAGAGTTGGAAGGGGCCACAGAGGCCATCTAGTCCAACCCCCTGATCAGTGCAGGACCAGCCTACAGCATCCCTGACAAGGGTTTGTCCCGACGCTGCTTGAAGACTGCCACAGAGGGGGAGCTCACCACCTCCCCTAGGCAGCTGATTCCAACGCTGCACAACTCTTACTGGAAAAAAATAAATAAGTCCTGATATCCAGCCGGTACCTTCTTGCCCTTAATTTAAACCCACTATTGCGATTCCTCTTCTCTTCTTCCAACAGGAACTGCTCCCTGCCCTCCTCTAAGTGACAGACCTTCAAATACTTCAAGAGAGTGATCCTGTCTCCAAAGTACAGAGATCAGTTCCCCTGGAGAAAATGGCTGCTTCGGAGGGTGGAGTCTACGGCATCGTACCCCACTGAGGTCCCTGTCCTCCCCCAGGTTCCACCCCCCAAATCTCCAGGAGTTACCCAACCTGGATCTGGCAACCCTACCCCACCCCCGCTGGCAGCCACGGGAAACCTGGCAATCTGACATTCTGCCCAGTTTGGGACTGAGGCTAGTTATGGGTTGGGTTGACTGCTTTTAACCGATTTAAATCCTTTCTAACCACCTTCTCGGCCACAAGGCACCCCAAAGCACCCAAGGAATTGTCTTCAACTGTCCCACAGTCTGTTTCCTCCTTGTTCTAAGGGAGACCCCCCACACACACCTTGCAGGGTTGTTGTGGAGAACCGAAAAGACCATCGACTGTTTTGCAGCTTCAAAAGCGCTACGTAAGAGACGCACGGGGGCAGTGGAGCTTACTGTAGGCGTATGAGAGGGTTTGAGTCATGCAGCGGTCTCTTTAAAGTGGGGAAGGCTATTTGACATGATGCGTTCGGTTTCCACTCAACGCCAGGTTTCTCTAACCACAAAAGAGGGAGACGAGGTTCTTGTTACAGACACCTACGATGTGAACACGTTCCTTTCTAAGGCTGGAATGGGCAAAAAATCCCTTATCTGATGATGGGGGACAAGCAAAAGCTGCCATTCTTTAACAACAAACGGAACTGGGCAGAAAATACAGTTCCGTTGCAGCGGCATGCCGTTGTGTTTACATCGAAAATGGCAGGAAATTTTCACCCATCTATATACTTTTTCCCCTTCTTCCCACTTGTCTTAGAATACAGCAAAGCTGGCTGACAACAGTTCTGGTTGAGATTCCGCTGAACTTTAGATTCTGACTGACGGGCTGGAGACGGAATCAACACTGGAAGTCCCCAAAAGGATGCCAGAAATGAATGCGGAGTCCGTAGGCTCTTAAAGCTTTTTGGCAGACAAAACTGAGACTTGGCTTAAGCAGGACCACAGTGAAGGCAAAAGCATCTGCCCAGGGACCTTTGTGTTCACATGGCATCCCATTTAACCTGGGCTGTTATGTAGGATTGCTAGTTCTGGGATGGGAAATATGTGGAGATTTGAGGGTGTAGCCTGGGAGACAGGGGAAGAAGAAGAAGAAGGAAGAAGGAGAAGAAAAAGAGGAGGAGGAGGAGGAAGAGATTGGATTTGTACCCCGCCCTTCACCACCTAAAGAAATCTCAGAGCGGCTTACAATCCCTTTCCCTTCCCCTCTCCACAACAGACACCCTGTGAAGTAGGTGGGGATGAGAGAGCTCTCTTGAGAACTGCCCTTGAGGGAACAGCTCTGAGAGAACTTGTAACTGACCCAAGGTCATACCGGCAGCTGCATGTGGAGAAGCGGGGAATCAAACCCGGTTCTCCCGGATTAGAGTCCGTGCTCCTAACCACTACATCATACTCGGGAGAGGAGAGACCTCAGCAGGGTCCAATGCCACAGACTCCACCCTCCAAAGCAGCGATTTTCTCCAGGGGAATCGACTTTGGTCATCTGGAGATCAACTGTAATAGTGGGACATCTCCGGGTGCTACCTGGAGGCTGGCAACCTGATGTTACCTGTTCAGAGGAACTAAGTGTGTCACATAGTTGCTTTGCACAATTCAAACAAGATGCAGTGCGAGGACTAAGTAGGGTTGCCAGTTCCGGGTTGGGAAATCCCTGGAGATTTGGGGGGTGGAGCCTGAGGGGGCGGGGCTTGGGGAGGGGAGGGACTCCAGTGGGGCATAGTGTCAGAGTCTGCCTTCCAAAGTGGCCCCTTTCCCCAGGTGAGCTGATTACTTTTGCCTGGAGATCAGCTGTAACCCCAAGAGCTCTCCAGCCACCAACTGGAGACTCTATATAAACCCCCCCCAGGCTTCAGTGTAAATGAAACTCACCGAAGGGAAACCACTATTCTGTTAATCCTAGCATACTCTGTTACACTTTTTATATTGCAAATATCTATCATAAGCAGCATTCATTACACAAATATGTTTCATGAGTATAAGCAGGGGTCATTTCGTAGAAAAAGAGGTGCAGGAGCTCATTAGCATAACTCATTAGCATAACTTATTTGCATATGCCACACCCCCTGACATCACCGGAAGTGTGTCAGAAGGCAACACCCACCGCTCAGGCTCCACTGGACTGTTTTGGATTGCTAGCTATGGGGGGGGGGGAACGTGGAGATCTGTCCTCACAGAGGAGGGAGAGATTGTACCTGAATAAAACTTGGTCTTAAAGGTGCCACTGGACTGTTTTGGACCGGGGGGGCGGGGGTGTTTGCAGCTTACCTGGCTGCTTCTTGCTCTGACTGAGGGCTGCTGGGAGCAGGGGGTAGGGCTTGTTGCATGTTGCATGTGCCCGCCCCCTGGGCTCTTTACTGCCGGAGCTCCGCTCCTGTGCGCTCCTGCAGGAAATGACCCCTGAGTATAAGTAAATCTATATAGGTCTGTGGTCAAAGGCCACAGAAAATGGTACTAATACATTACAAAGTTTATAAAACACAGTCCTGGCTACGTTCCTCGATTCTTTTTGTGACGTCATCGCTTTAAGGCAGCTGTGAAGAAAAAAGGGACCGAAAAGCCTTCGTTTTTTCAAGATCTAGACCAATGCATAGAATTCCACCCACCGTTAAAAGCACAGGAAAAAACTTCAATGACGTGGAAAAGAACGATACATGTGAAAAATATACAAGAATCCAAGGAATGTAAAAGATAAAGTGAGGACAGGCTCTTCCGGAGTAGGTAGCAGTTTCGAATATCTTTTTCAACTCAGTCTCTCTGTAGATGTTCAGCACCCAATCTCTTCATGAAACACCACAGGAATGACAGTAATATGGATCCACGCAGTATCTCTCTAATCTGGAATGGGAATGATGGTAAACAAGGTAAGATTTCTGCCCTTTAATAAATTATTACTGGAAAGATATATACCGGGGGGGGGGGGAATGGTCTGATCCCCTTAAACTGGACTTTTCGGAATCCAACTAGAAACAGATTTGGAATTCCCCCTCCAACACATCCTGTTGTTGGGATATTAAACTCCAATTTTACAAGTTGTTATCTACTTGCCAAAGAATAGATGCTTTCGAATTGTAGTGCTGGAGAAGACTCTTGAGAGTCCCTTGGACTGCAAGGAGATCGAATCAGTCAATCCTAAAAGAAATCAACCCTGACTGTTCCCTGGAAGGCCAAATACTGAGGCTGAAGCGCAACTACTTTGGCCACCAAATGAGAAGGGAGCACTCCCTGGAGAAGACCCTGATGCTGGGAAAGATTGAAGGTCAAAGAAGACGGGGACGGCAAAGGATGAGATGGTTAGACAGTGTCATCGATGCAACGAACATGAAACTGAGCAAACTTCAGAAGACGACGGAAGACAGGAAGGCCTGGCGTGATCTGGTCCATGGGGCCGCGGAGTAGTGCACAACGCTAAAAGAGCTAGAACTAGAACTTCTGGCTGCCAGACAATCTTAGGATCTCCTGACTATATGACACACAATGCCATACGATAATAATTATTACCAGGTGAAAGAGTCCGGGGCCCATCTGATCCAGCACCCCCTTTCCAGCGGTGGCTGGCTGGCTGATGCATCACAGACACCCCAAAGATTCCAAAAGACAGGGTGGTATGTAACGGTTAGTGTCAGAGTAGGATCTGGGAGGCCCCAGTTCAAACCCCCACTCTGCCTTGGAGTCCCGCTGGGGGACCTTGGGCCAGTCACCCGCTTTCAACCTAATCTACCTCAGAAGGTTGTTGTGAGGATAAAATGGAGGAGAGAATGATGTAAGCCGCTGTGTGTCATTGCTGAGGAGGAAGGCAGGATATAAATGAAATAAATAAAAGGGATAAAATCCCCCCTCATTCGTGATTCCCCCCCCCAACAATTATTATTCAAAGACACAGGGAAGTTCTGTTGGTGTGTATTAGCAAAATAAAGCCACTGTGGCATAGCGGTTAGAGCGTCGGGACTAGAATCCAGGAGACGCCGGTTCGAATCCCCACTCTGCCATGAAGCTTGCTGGGTGACCTTGGGCCAGTCACACGCTCTCAGCCTAACCTACCTCACAGGGTTGTAGGGAAGATAAAATGGAGTTGAGGTGAACAAGGTAAGCCACTTTGGGTCCCCATTGGGGAGAAAGGCAGAGTATAAAGTTAATAATGACTAACATTTATTTATTTAGAACAAAGTTTGAGTCCAGTGGCACCTTTAAGACCAACAAGGTTTTATTCAAGGTATAAGCTTTGTGTGTTTGTACACTTCTTCAGATACATTGGTAGAGGGTGAGCTGCAAATTAACATATACAGCATATTAAAGTTGTTTGACAGATGCTAGAATAACAAACTGGATAGCAGGATTAGTTTATATGGTCACCATTTGTTTGGGTTTAATTCTTTGGAGGGGGGACATAGTGAAGGAAATAAATATATCAAAATAGGAGATATAATTTGTGGAATGCTGAGAGTAAAACTATTTATTAAATTAAAGTTGTTAGTCTTTATGGCACCACCAGAGTTTTGCTTTCAATTCCATTTAGGCACTGATAATTCCCCCTAATCTCCTTTTTTAGAAAAGAGAGAGTCATCTCATCACATTTGGGGGCAGTAAAATTAAGCACCAGTATCTTTTCCTGGCACAGAGATTAAAAAACAGAGACAGATATTTCCTCTGATTCATTTCTGCATGTCTCTACCCAGAAGGGAGCACTGCAGTTTGAAAAGGTAACAAAACTAAATGTACGGTTGCCAACTTGTTTTATCACCGCTGCACCTGCACCGTTAGTTTGGCACCATCTGCAGCTTTCGAGGGCCAGCATGAAAAGCTTCCACAGGCTAGGAGGCCTCAGAGAGGGCTCCCCCCCCCCCCCCCCCCCCCCCTTTTCCGGGCCAGCTGTTAACCCTCTTTAGAGATGCATGCAAATACCAAACCAGTGAAATCAGGAAAAAAAGGAGTCTTAAGTGGAGTGGAAATGCAAGATGCCATCGCAACCGTTCAAGGTACTGTATGAGTCAAAACGGCCCGGCCAAAATTCCCAGCCAGGCAGTTTTCTTTTCTTTTCCCCTCCCTCTGCGGTTCCAAGCAATAAAGCCGGGTCGAAGAGTCATAAAGATCCCGCGCCTCACTATCAAAAGAGACCGATCTGTACTAAGCAGGTGAGTCAAGCACTTTCTCCTACGCGCCGCCCCTCCCTTCCGGTTGGCCTTCTTCGGGAGACACTAGAGGGCGCAATTAGTTCACTTTAGCCGGCGGCGGACCGACTTGCCGGGCAGGGCGGTGGGAGGAAGTGAGGAGGGTCGACCTAAATATTTGGGCTCTCCCGATCCAATTGGATGGTGCGCGCGCAGCAGGGGAAAGGGGGCGCATCTTCCTCTTGGGGAAGACGCGCGCGTTTCCATGCAAGCAAGATAGTCAGGTTTTGGGTTGCGTTATTTGCTTGTAAAGAATGAGCTCTTGGAATTGATATCTAGATTAAATCCTCCCCCAACTTCTAGCCCAGTTTTGGGAACTGTGTTAGAGAAATATCGGTCAAATCTGGAAAAAGGAGCAAGAGACGCGATTTCAAAGATGCCCGTGTGCCCGGGAAGCAAGTCGCGCTAATTGCAAAGGCGGGCAACCGACTCGCGAGTAGGTGCATTGCCGAAGGCCAGGCTTGAAAATCCGTGCAGGTTTAAAATTGCATTTTACAAGGTAGCTACTGCTCTGTTGCTCAACTGAATTCTCTTCAGCTGAAGCGGTTTCACCCGGGCTTTTGATGTCATCGCTCTGAACAGTTTTAAAAGGCGTCCCAGCTGATCCTGGACTCGCCGGCTGCAGGGGGAGGGGGGGTCCCATAATTATATCTGCAGCGAATGAACCTGAGCTCACTTGGGAAGGGTGGTTTGCAGAAGGCACGGGGCAGAGGCGGAAATGCAAAAGCGGAGCCCTCAACAATGGCTGCGTTTACACTGAATCCGATTTAATCAACCGGAGTAGCCCCTTTGAAATTCCAATTCCCGCCCTTCATTGAAAGTGGCGGATCTAATCCGAGTCAACAGCATTCATCCAGAGGAGGGGGAAGGGAGCTTACACCGGAGTGAATCGATTTGCAACACACCGCCTGGGTCTTGCCTTGCTTCGAAAGGCTTAGCAGACCGGCGTTTGCAGGAAGGACTGGGTTGGGATCAATTTGTCACGGCATTTCTCGCTTTCAGTACGGCTGAGCGCCGGGAAAGCGGTTCGAACGCTGCTCCGTTGGGTTCCCCGAACCGGCGCTTGTCGCAAATTCGCAACGGTAATCGGAGTCGGGTGGTCCGAAGGGGAAGGGACGGAAGAACCCACAAGCCTCTCAATCCGACTGCGCGCAAATATTTTATTTTTAAATATATATATATGTGTACGTATCAGTTGTTGCTACGCCAGCTGGAAGGCGGATGGAAGGTTTGGGGACGTAGGAAGCGTGCAGGCGAGTTGTCCCACCCCGCGCACTTTTACAGGGAAGTAAGAGGCAGCCGCGGAGCCTGTCAAACTTCGGAGCCTCCAGGCTGTCTTCTTCCTCTCCGGGAGACCGGCTTGCGAAACAGCAGTCGCGTCTGTAGGTAAAGCGTGAACCCGCTCACCTGCACCTCCCTGAGCCTGCATCCAGCGAGGCGGCGGGGGGCGGATGAACCCTAGAAGTACCCCACCCCTGCAGCTGTAACCTCTGCTTCTTATAGAAGCTGCGATCCCAGTGCACTTGAGCCAAAGCCTAGGACTCACATCGAAGGCTTGCGGCTTCTAGGAAACGCCAGAGTCCCTGCTAAGTCCCTTGAAGAGCGACTGAAGTAACGCAATACTTGGTGCAACCTTCCGAGTTCTACAGAACTCTTCGGCAAGCGGGATGGTGACATCTGTCTGGTCTCGGTGTTTAAGCAGACATGTCGTGCCCCCCCCCCCAACTTTATGCGTGTTTTAATATCCAAACTGATGCAAAGTTCTGGAGAACGGGGGAGCTTGCACGCTGTGAACGCAATTGGTCTGCAATCCCATGCAATGTGCAACCCGAGACACTTTGCAACTCCACTGCAATCGCTCCCAAGGACACAGACATGGGGGGGGGGGGTCCAAACGGCTCACTCTTGACATGGATTCAAGCCAGTTTTCAGCGCAAAGGGAGAAGGGGAGATTCGAACGGACCCCCCCCCCCCCCCCCCCCCCCCTCTTTCTCTGCGTTGCTTTCCCCGTCTACTCGGAATCAAGTCCCAGTTAACTTGGCTTTAAAAAATAATAAATAAAACGCTTCCCTTTTTAATTTTTTTGACATATTATTTCGAAAGCGACTCGAAGACCCAGGAAAGGGGGGGTGGGAGCATAGTGGAAAGGGGGAAACTGCTGCAGTCACGCCCTCTGCAATAATGGGGAACGCGCTCCACCGGTGACCGCCTAGGGGGCTGGAGAAAAGCCGCGCAACCCGATCCTACGCGGAGGTACAATCCTACTGCCGCTAGGCGGAGGGGGGGAAATGTTGCACCCGGGAAAGAAAACCGTAGCGTGGGGTTTGGTTTTTTTTTTTTGCTAGGGGTGGTCTACTCGGGAGTAAGTAGGGGAAAGCGCCTTGAAAGCTGCCGCCTCCTTGCAAAATAGGGAGACCGACGCACCACCGGCCGCCAGTTCGATTCCCCGGCTCCGGCCCCTTTACTATCTGTTTACTTCCGTCGGCGCTGCGTAGAGGCGCGTCTGTAGAGTCAAAGCCTCAGTCCCGCGGCCGCCCCTCCCGGTCTTAACGCAGTGCGGAGAGCCCCCCGCGTGCCGTTTCCCGGCTCCTGCTGCGGAGGCGCCCCCCCGCCAGCCCCTTTACAAGGCATCCCCACCCCCAGCCCTCCAGTTGCCACCCGTTTCGGCTTGCAACTGCGGCCACGCCTGCCGCTTGCCAGTCCCCCCGGGGGGGAGAGGGGGGGGGGACCGGCGCTGGCT